CCTTGTGCGAAAATTAAGATTAATGCTTTGATATCATAACATCTTCATTAGGAAAATTAATATAAATTTAAAAAAAAAAAAAAAGAGTATTGTTACGAGTATTGTTATAAGTATGATTCTCTATTGTGCAGAAAAGTATGTAGATTTACCGCTTAAAAATTTGTCCATAGGTGTAAAAGTCTGAATTGCACAGCTTTCGTAGTCGACTTCGCGAGGAACATCTGCTACAGTGTGCAAGTAAAAAGCGAGGAACTCATTCCCGAAACGAATGCCACACTTTTCCATCAGATCTGTATTACAGGTAAGAACTGTTCTTTCATGGTATATAAAGTATTACATTTTTATATAAAATATATAAAGTATTATATTTTTATATAAAATATAAATCAAGTTATATATTTGAATTCAATTATCTGATAGAAGGAAATCATCTGAAAAGCGTTGAAAAAAAATGTTAATAATTTATCTCATCCCTGAAGAAAACTTTTGGAAATGTTTTCGGAAATGCATCTTTTAAAGCTCTTTGCGTTTGCACTTTCAGTCCCACCGAGCTGCAAACAGCAGAGATTGTGGCAAGTAGAAAGAACCTTGGGAGCTATATTGAAAGAGGGGCAGTCCGGCTGGTTTCATCAAGCACTAAAGAGAAGCGAGTGTTACGAGAAGTGTTTGCAAGCAGGTATGCAAAGTAATCATATGAATTGTGCCATAGCTATCAAATAAATTGAAACTGTCAAGAAACTGCAACCTATATATGAACGATTGAAATAATCTCAGGAGACGAATGTGCGTCCGCGCAATACCGTACGGGCGAGCCTTTGTCAATCAACGATACCATTGGTACGTGTTCGTTGTCGAAGCTCGAAAGGGGTACCAGACCGCAAGCCTACAGATCGTCGATGTATCGAGATGAGTATCTACAGGATCAGTGCCATAATATAAGTAAGTCGCTAAACCGATCTGCCTTTTTGTAAATTGTAAGACCGAACTGCATGTGAATTGAATTTAATTTATACGTCCTGATATAGCGAAGAAGAGCTATTGTTCCTATGCAGAATTCCGGAACGTATCGTTGCCATATTCGGATGTGGCGTTGCCAGGACTTGACCTAAAACAGGTATTCTATATATTTCCTGTCCGTTTTTTTTGGGCGAGCCGATTCACTCTGTTACTTGATCATGATTATTTTTTAGTGCGAGGAGAGATGTGACCGCAGTGTGGATGGTTTCATTTGCAGAGCCTACACTGTCGACTATTCGGAAGAAAAACCGCTCTGTCTCCTGCATTCCGATAGCACAATCGGTCTTGGAGTTAGTTCGCTGGTTACCAGACCTAACGTGGTCTACAAGGAACAAGAGCCTTGTCTAGATCGTATGTTTGCAATGTGGATAGTTGTATAAGTTTTGCCCATAAAACTACGGTTACATGATTCAAGGCACATGATTCAAAAAAGCATTAAAACAAAATATATAAATTTTACAAAAATTATTATTAGACATATATAAGATCCTACTCGCGGTGTGACCGGAAATGTCAATATTTATTTATTCTACACTATATACATATCAATCGCTGTTTACTTTATTACAGTCTACAAGTTTTATTGTCCAACATTTTTCATACTGAGGCACTACCTTGTTTCGCAGTGAAAGTGGAGTGCGGCGAATCAACCATGACAGTCATACTGACCACTCCGGAGCCCTTCGTAGGACGGATGTACGCGACTGGATACGGGGACATCACTACTTGCAGCATTAACGGTGTTGGGCACAACGTGACGATATTAAGATTGCCGCTGCCAAAGAAAGAGCAAATCGAGAAGCCCGGCATTGCGTGCGGCCTTACACCCGCGTTTTCCATCGACAATGAAAACCGGTACTTGGCCTCGAAACCATCTAATCGGCTCGATTAATTTTAGATCTTTGTTAAATGTAATGAAACAATAAATTACTGGTCGAATTAAAGGCCGATTTTATTAAGCCACCGGGTTTTATTCTTTGCAGAACGCACACGTTGGTCTGGGCCACTATTGTGATACAATACAATCCAATCATTCAGCGATTAGGAGATCAGTCGGTGAGAGTCGGATGCTCCTTAGACGATAGCGGCCTACCGGAACCGAGAAACGTGACCGTTCATTCGAATTTCTCTTTCGAGGATCCAAAGTAAGTCTAGCTTTTCTTCATATAGAATTGCGTACACATTTTTTCAAACGAGTGACATGTTCACTCTTTATAATTTAATTTGCCACCATTTGATGCAAAACTGTGACAAGCGTCCCCGATATTCCGGCTCTGGTTACTCTTTTTAGCGCAGGCGTACCGCCGGTTGGGTCAATTGTAGTGAACGTATCATCCGAGGTGCCAGTGATTACGATGAGAATTCTCAACGAAGACAATACGGACGCCGTCGTTACCCAATTGGGGCAGAAGCTAACGCTCAGAATTGAAATTCATCCCGTGAACGGTGAGTATCTTTTGTGCGGCATTTACATAGGATGTTCCCATACATTTTATGGTTTCTCTTTTATCACTGAATTTGATTCTATCGAAACTAGAATTTTCTTACCCGGTAAAAAAATTTTCATATAAAAACATATAAATATTATATAATTATATATGAAATATATAATTATTATGTCCATATATGTTTTTTTCTCTTGCATAATCTGTGTTTGTATATATCGTACATACAGGAAAAATAATAAAAAAAAACCTAAAAATAATTAAAAAAATTAAAAAAATTATTCTTGCATTGTATTTTTTATAAAAAGTGGAGTTTGAGGAAATGAGAAAAATTTGCCCATATATCGGCTGCGTTCGTCTTGACGCTTTCAGCGCTGAAAGCATCGCTCTATCTTCGTTTGATGTTCGATGTGCAACAAAGATAGAATGATGCTTACAGCGCTGAAAGCGTCAAAACGAACCCAGCCATAATCATATATAAATGTAACAGCTATTATATTAACTACTCTGTTATATTTATATATGATTATATATGGGAAAATTTTCTCGATTTCTCAAACTTCACTTTTTATAAAAAATACAATGCAAAAATGATCTTTTTAATTATTTTTAGATTCTTTTTGTTATTATTTTTCCTGTATATACGAACACAGATTATTACAAGAGAAAAATAACATGTATGGACATATTTATTCATATATAATTGTATATATTTATATATGTTTTTATATGAAAAACTTTTTACCGGGTAAGAATGTTAAAGTATTAATAATTTTTTAAGAAATTTTTAAAATGTAAAAAAAAACTTTACAAATTTAGTTTTAGCTGTGTATGAAATACATCTTTTATCTCGACTATACAAAAAAAGAATGATATAATTTCTTTGACAGGAACTTACGACATCGCAGCTGGACACCTAGTAGCTAGTAGCGCATCCGGAGAATCCTCGTATCTTCTTTTGGACGAGATTGGGTGTCCGACGGATCCGGCGACGTTTCCCGCGCTGTTGAAAGATCCAATCGATAACCGTTCTTTGATCTCAACATTTACTGCCTTCAAGTTTCCCGACAGTCAAATTGTCCGATTTAACGTCATCGTCAGATTTTGTATCGAGGAATGTGAACCGGTAAGTAGACTTAAAACTATTCTTTTTAATGCATTAACACATTGTTTTTATATGCGTTACGTAAAGTCGATCGTAATCAGCCGCGTATAAAAACAATGTGTTTAGGTTTTACGTTACTTCGCGTCCCGTCGCGTCCCGTTACGTTAAGTTCATCGTAATTCCGGCATAACACTTTAACATGATTTTTACATTGCTTAAGTCGTGATTGTATTATATAATATAATATTAGAAGATATTATAATTTTTTACATAAAGGAATATATTTTTTAAATAAGTAAATATTAATTTAGCACTTTGTATAAATTACAATTGTATTAATTAAAGAGCGAGAAAATTAGAAATTTATGATTTCTTTGAAGGCCACATGCAGAGGAGGACAGCTCTCGTACGGCAGGAAGCGACGGTCGATCGGGCCGGTCGAGGAGCCGGTCACCGCCGAGGTAACAGAAATTTTCAGAAACCTCACGCCCGCGGAATTACCGTTACAACTATCTATCGTCGTTCAAAGTCCAGTGATAACAGCGGGCCATTTATCCAGGGAAAATCCTGACACGCTGTTGATCACCGGCGGAAGTGAGTTTAATATATCGGTACCGCTACGTCCTCCAAGCGTCGGGAACTTCGATTTGCACTTCCGAATTCTATAGATATTTATTATAAATAATAAAATTACTGCAGAGTTAATGGAGCTATACGAGTCTTGTTTTATTTTCAGAATCTACGGACAGCCTTTTTTGCGTGGACGCGAGTCTAGCTCTAGGTCTACTGATCTTTTGGTTGATAATTCAGATTGTACTCACTGCCGGTTGCATCATAGCCGTTCGTCGCTACAGAAGAATGGCCGTAGAGGCCGAAGAGGACAGAGCTGAGATATTGGCGAGACACCTTTATGGCATTCACGGAGGAAACTTCGAAATTGCACGAAGGGTCAGGTGGGCCGACCGAAACGATTCCTCGATCGGATGACAGATTCTTTTTCCCCATTTTTCAAACGCAAGGATAACTTAGATATTATATAGATTTGTGTAAAAGGTTTTAAAGTTAAAAAAATGAAAAAAAATTGTTACACTTTTATATAAGTTTCAAGTCATAAAATTTTTAAGTAAAGTAATCAGTTACTTTTGACTTATTTATGTAATAATAGGAAATAGTTTTCGTTTTTTAAGAAATTCCAGTCATTTTATTGTAAACAAAAATTAAACTTTTAAAATAGAGATAAACTTTTTGCATTAAATGTAATACGTATATGAGATATATATGTCTATTAACGATTTATAAATATTATAAAATCTATTTATATAATTCGTTTAATGTTAGTAATTGTTAATTTTAATTTTATAACTATACAAAGTAAAAAGACCAAAGTGAAAATAAAGTCAACAAATTATTATTCTCGCTTAAAAAGCAAATAAATACACTTACATTGAATATATTATGTATACATATAGCGGTGTGTAAATATGTTTATTTTTCTTATACTTGCCAGTCTTTCATTAAAACATTTATTATCATGAATTGTATTGTGTAATGAAAATTGCAAGTTATCCAGTTCTGCCTGTTGAACAGCGTCCATAATGATTTAGTGTCACCTCTGTAAATATAAAATATTGTGTATTGAACATTTTAATGCGTTCACAATCGCACTGCCTTATACTGTAATTACATATGAGTTTTTTTTTTATCATTTTATATATTTTACAGGGCAAAGATCGTTAAATGTATAAATTTGCTATTGCAAAATCCATTAATGCTAGAACGACCGAAAGTATTTGGAAGAATGGTTTTCTTCCATCTCTTGTGTGATATAAAAGGAAAAGTTTTCTTATCTAATTTTAGCCTTTTTATTCATAATGCTTTACACATTAATATCAATTTGCTAAATAAATATAATTAAGGCAGACCGGGGCTGTTCGTGACACTGCTGAAATTTTGTCGCGGGCCTAACTTTAAAATGCTTGCTGCTAGAATCCTGTAATATCAATCACAGATGTCTCTTAGTATCCTCTAGTTACCAACGGAATGGCATTTGCGTGTCAACCACTTTTCTCTCTGACAGAAAGTCTGACTTCGGGTGCTCAAAGTAAAATTTTTTAAATCCCGAAAATTTGTTTTCTCGCCGAATAAAATAATAAGAGATCCGAAACGGTAAATTGTATTCAGTCACTCGACTTCACTAAGCATAATGCATGAGTAGATTTTATGGTATTCTTTCTTATCTGTAAGTCAAACATTTATACGAAGCGAGAAAAAAATTTAAAACAAAAATGTGCCACGATAATAGCCCCGGTCTCCCCTAATATAATTTCAAGGGTTTAAGCAATAATAATAATAAAGATAAATTAAAAGAATTGATCAAAATAATTTATTTGTCTCGTTGAAAAATAATAAAACGATTAGCTCGACCGTTCTAGCGTTAAAGCAAAAAATTGATCTTGGAGATCATTGTTACTCTGATAAAATTAAGCTTGTTTTATATTGTTATCGCGCATATATCTTTCATATAGCAAAATAAATACACCTGTTAAATATAAAAAAGTTTTTATAAAATATATCACCTTTTCCACAGCGTTGCGCGCAACCCAATCCTCCTGGATTAGTGTAATCGACGTTGTCTGTACCACAAACAGGATTGTATTCGTGTGTTACCTATAATAGAAGTGTTAATAGAAAATAATGCATTATAGATTCAATATTAAAATTACTTTTCAGAAGCAAATGTCCAAAATTCAAAAGGTTCTCTCTCGATTGAAACGTTAGCTTTTTAATAAAATTTACGTTGATGATTTCAGTAAGAAAAGAATTATAATTACCGGGCAATTATCTAAGCATGCATTGTATATGTCATTATTAGTCAGAGTAGTAGACGTCACAATTGTCGGTGTGGATGTTGAAGGAATTCTTTGGCTTCCATTAGATTGCTCGGAAGCTACTGCACCATCAAAAACGAAGCCATCTGCTTGAACTGCATTATCCAAATTCTATGGAAATATATATATATATCGAATTAAACTTACAAATATTAGACTCTCAAAAATACTTTTTTCAAAAATACAGAAATATTACTTTTAACAAACACAAAAAGAATGTGAATGTGTGTGAAAAACTTTATGATATTGGTTTCAGAATATTAAAATAAACATTAAAATATAAACAAAGTGTATGCAAACTTCGTATTATAATATTTCTATTCATAGGACATGTAAAATAAAGAGATTATCTTTATATAAAGGAAATTCGAAATATTAAAGACTCAATGGACCCACGGACGTTATAATATGTCGGCGTCATTTATTGCGCTTAGCATAACATACGATTATATTTCTTAACAACATATTCAACATATCCAAATGTCTCAAATTGTTTAAATATTTCTCAAATTCTCTCTTACAACAGATCGTACGAAAGGACATTTTACTTACTTGTGGAAATGCAGCAATGAGAAATGGTGGTACAGCAACTGTAAGAATTATTTAACACCATTGAGATAATACTAAAATCAGCTGATGTATGAGAATAATACTTCACGTCACGCGCAAAGTGTTTGAAATAGTTTTCTTACTCAGCGATAAATAAAATAACATTTTGCTAAAGTCTACTTGATATAAGAGATTGCCAAGTATCGACGTTGCGCGACGTCTTATACGCTCAAGATGATCTACAGAAGTTCGACTTCGACGATCTACTAATTGGCAGCCTTAGTTGCGGTTCTTTTTATAGAACCGGTTGCCAACCAGCGCTCCTATCTACAGTACGCGTAAGTATGAGCAAAGAGGGAATTTCCTAATATAAAATGACTTATTCATTGCATGCTAATTGCCAAATTTTTTGTAAAAATAAAAAAATATTAAAGCGAATTAAATATATAACATGACAATCTCTTCCACTAATTATACATTTCATATTCTGTATCACAAACAACGTTTATTTCTGATTTGTTTCAAACTGCGATACACGATACGAAAAAAATATATAATTATTGTTTCAATTTTTTAATTTTTTGTTTTATTTGTTTTCTTTAGGAAGAGTTTACCTCGTCAATCATCTGCAACAAATTTCTTGGTAACAAGCGAGGTAACAAATTTCATGCAAAATCCGTTAATTAAATCGATGTTTGCAAAACAACAGCAGACATGTAATACAACTTCTCATAAAATAAAAGCAAATTGACGTAAAATATCGCGCAAGATTTTCAACACCAAATAAACGGCATAACGATCGAGTAAGAATTAGGCACGGCACAATACAATTGTGGTAAATTGGCAGCAAATAGCGAGATAAAACTTGCTGTAATTATCTGCTTTTTAAAATAACTTTAAATACCTTTTTTACTTTGAAATATCTTTAAATAGTTTAAATAGGTAGCTTTTAAGTACCGTTGCTTAAATACTATTTGCTACCAATTTACCATTTATTTAACACCAATTAATTTTGCCGTACTATGTAATATATTTAAAATTTAAAGAACATTTACGCGATATTGTTATTCGAATTCTTTTTTTCTAACAAAAAGTTATGGAAATTGCAATATCAAAATATTAAATTAATTATAAAAAAAGTATAAAAGTTTATAAATAAATTAACTTAGAACTGTGCGGGAAAAAAAAAAAAAAAAAAACCACTTTCGCCGAGAATTCGTCATGACTTACTCAGGTCGTCGCATTCCTACGAATGAGCGTTTATTCGTCAGACTTATTCTTGCAAATCACATAAGAGAATGCTAATAGTAAGTATCCTATCAGCAAGATTATCTTCTCGAATACATCTTTTGGCAGCTACAATAGGATTGTGTTATTTATGTCGCAGTGTTTTAAAACTAAAAATCATTTAGAGTTGCGGCTGCTATCATGACATCCTTGGTGGAAAAATGTCTCAAAATTGTTCATATTATAAATAAAAATTTCTATAAAAATTATTAGACTTTCAGAATGCTCAGGATTTTTCAGATATTTTATACGAATTGGAATGTTTTTTTTTTTTTTAGAAAAACTCAGACAAAATAAGAATAAAATATTTCAGATTTTTCCCGCCAACATATCTTTGTAGAAATCTGAATAAATATGAGAAAATCTGTGCAATTTATCAGAAATTTTCATACAGGATACTGAATATTCCGAAAATCCTAATTCAATTATTTCTGAAAGTATCTAAAAAAAATTATATATATATTTTTAGAAATTTTCATAAAACTTAATTCAAATACAAAATTTCTGAGAAATATGAGAAATTTCTTCACTACGAATCTGTGGACATTAATATAAATAATTGATAGCCGCGGTGATGTTAGAACACAACAAGTAATTATTTGTATTTGTATGGATTGTTAAATCTTAATTTAATATAATAACAGTAGAAATGTAATCTAGTATATTATGTAATATAATAGTATATTATGTAATATAATTAATTATATATATATACTGTATATATACAGTATAATTATAATAGATCGTAGTTTTTACATAAAGATTAGCAATAACAAATTAAAAATGCACATGTTTAAATGTAGTAATACATCGAACATTAATAACACATGGAGTTTGCGACATGTCGATGACCAGGAACTAGCTGATGATTGCGATCGCATATCAGGAATTTCCTTTAATGGACGTGTGCACGTCTGTAACATTCAAAGCGTGCCGGTTTTACTATATACGAAAAAGAGATAAAATAAAATAATGTTATACAATTTTATCAATATTAAAAAATTTATCTGTACCTATATATGGCAGGCCATGCAATATTCAATTACTGCTCTGCTGGATGTATGGTTCGCAAGCCCTGATCACTCTTATCTCGAGTCCTTATAAAATATTTAGTGTTATTAAGTAAGTGGCACAAAATCAGAAATTATAAATAATTTAATAATTAAATAAAACAGATAAAGAGAAATATTTTACAGAAAAATATTACCGAAAGACGTTAAATAAATTTAAATTTAATATAACAATAAAAAATAATGATACAATAATAAAACAATAAAGTAGAATTAATGGTACCTGGATTACAATTTCTCGCGCAATTAAATCTTCCCATATTCCAATAGGTAACGTTATCGGTGCCGCATACTGGGTTGTATTCGGCAGTCGCGACACACGGACAATTAGCTGCAGTGCTTTGCGTGGAGGTACTCGATGCGGTGATTCTCGGTGTGGTGCTACTCGCTTCATTATTATCGAATATTATAGAGTCATTGGCGATCCCGTCCGACGGGTCTCTTTGCGGGAATGCCAAGGCGACCAACCAAATCATGGTCAATACGTGCACAGCTATCGAGTAAAATGACGTGTCATGACGTGCGTACGCGCATTTTAACGAAAATTTGCAGACAAATCCAGAAACCTCGAAATTGGAACTATCAAATAAAGCGTCGAGGAAATATCTTTCCGTTTTCTTTTTCTTTAAATATTTCTTTAAATATTTAGACTAAGGGTGCGATCCCCCAGACGTTTCAAACGCCGCGCTTCAGAGCAGTATTTTGTCCTTGTTTAACATTTAATAAACAACAAGGATAAAATGTTTCCAAGAGCGTTTGAAACGCTAAGTGGATCGCACTCTAAATATTTAGAAGACTTGACAAAATATAGAAAATAAATTACTCAAATTCAGATGTATCGGATGTTAAGTGAAATATTCTAAAAAGAGGGGGAAAGAAAAACCTCTGATATCTTATACATTTGGGAAAAAAAAGTCAATATCTATTTCGTTATATCGTACTCACGTGTAAAAATATATTTCATGATTGTATCCGTGCGAGTAATCCGATGTCAAGTTTAAGAAATGAGTAAAGACGCGAAATGGAAGCGACTTAAACGATCCTCGGAACAGCAACCAAATGACAGTCTTTAGCGAGCTGTTTTTCCACTTATATCGTTGTCTACTTTTATCTGTTTCCGACTTGTTTCCTTATATAGAAGAAAAAACCAGTAAGAGAGATGCGTTGCAACCGGCGGTCTCGGGGATATCCACATTGCGCACTTGTCACACTAGCGTTGACTTCATGCATATAATGATCGAGTCATTTACGGGACATTCCGTTTTTATCTCGCGTTTAAATTGTTATCGAAAAACAAGCTAGAATTTTTTATTTACTTTTGACCCTTAGTCAACTGGCTAACTTATATAATCGAATAATGTGCATGAAATTATCATTGCACTATCTTTTACTACAGCCGTTAAACTGCATATAATTGTGAATAATTTGGTCTTTAATTTGCTGTAAAAAAAAGTTGAGTTTCGCTCGTATTATAAGTTTGTTTCGTAAGAATAGCATAAAAAATAAAAAAGCAGCGTTCTCGGTATAAGTAAAAAATGTATGATCCTCTCTTTATCGTTATAAATATTTATATAACATCCAGACAAAAGCTAATAGCCTTGTACACGAGCATCATGAGCAAATCGTTTATCTCTTTTTCACGCATGCACACAGAGATATCGATTTCCTGCTCGTACTTCCTGCATCTGTAAGCGTGTTCTTTAAGAATCTGTAAAATACGTCAGCTCTTTTGAGCGTGACGTCAGAACCGAAGAAAGCTATGCTGCATTATCATACGAGATTATATCTACGTAAACAACTTTTCAAAAATGGAATCAATCTCGGTGAACTTTAGGTCGCATAGTGAAATAGAGTCGACATTGTCTGGATTAGTATATGCGCTTTTTTCATACCCGGGCAAAAGAATTTCAAATCGTTTTCTTAAAAAACGCAAACGGCTAATTGTGCATGTATGAAAAAGAGCGACAAACGATTATATCTACGCAAACAACTTTTCAAAAATGGAATTAATCTCGGTGAACTTTGGGTCGCATAGCGAAATAGAGTCGACATTGTCTGGATTATACGCTTTTCATACCTGGGCAAAAGAATTTCAAATCGTTTTCTTAAAAAACGCAAACGGCTAATTGTGCATGTATGAAAAAGAGCGATAAACGATTTGCTCATGATGCTCGTATAGTCGAGTTCCAAGACTGTTTAAAACGATAAATCTTGCATCCCTGCAGCTAAATTATACAGAATATTCTAGTGATATTGCAATAACATTGTAATTTCAGTTTTATCGCAAGAGTCTTACAACATTGTTGGAATGTTCTGTATTGCCTGAGATCCAATATAAATACTTTTGTTGTGACAAACTATGGATTTCATTTAATAAAATATATGATGTACAAGTACGTGAGTTGTAAGAATCATCTGCATATTCTCGCTTCTGACGTCACAAGTAAAGGTTGACAGACCTAGATTTTTAACGAAAGACGAATTGTCGTACTGTGGACATTGTATATACTATAAGTTTGTTTTAAGTTGTTACAATCGAATCTTGCAAAATAAAAGACAAGTTAAAACAAATTCTTGAAGTAAAATTAGGTGGTAATTATAATAAAATAGAAATTTGAAGTAAAATATACAAAATTCATCGTTAAAGGCGTATCTAGGTTTTTTGAGACATTCTTTTAAGACTATAGTTAGATGACATCGAAAGACAAAATAACTTATTGTCACCACCAAGTGCAAATTCTGTTTGTCCGCTCTTCCTTAATATTCCTGACGTCGCCGAGGTTTCTGATGGTGTTATACCAGATAACCTCTCCGCTTTAAACCAACATCTTATAAAACAGTTTATATTTCTTTTCTTATTCTTATTCTTATGCTAAATTCTCTTTGTCGGAAGTTTTTATATTGCAGCGTTAAAT